TCTTGGAGCTGGCTGGCATTGGCCCTATCGGACATAGGGGAAGCTTCTAGCAGCTTCTCAGAGAAGCCACCCCTGTAGCCCCCCTGCTACCATAACCTTGCCACGCAAACCCAGTACAGTCACAGTGGCTCGACAGACCAAGGTGCCGCCAGGCCTCCCCAGTGGCCCAGGCTGCAGCCAGCGCGCGCTTGCCTTCTCCTGCCCTTTCTGAACTCCAGCACCATTCAACAAGTTAAAAGTCAAACTGCGCTTATACTGTGGATAGTCTAACCAACTACTTCAAAACTTTAGAGTTTAACCTACACATCACCGTGAAACAGAGGGCATCTGCCTGTAAATACAAATACACAGCGTAGCATTCTGCCTTTTCCAAACATACACTGCGTTTTCTCTCCATCTGTGAGGAAAGGTTTGGTTTTAATAGTGACTAAAAATTCTGTTGTTTACCATTTTTCACTAAAAAAGTACAACTGTTGCTTTCAAACTAACATCAGTTTTCTAATGCACAAAACGCGACCGATGGTATAATTTAACCCAATTTAGACAATGCCTTCGTACCATAACAGTTTAAAATACTGTACTGCCTTCACATACTTATAACAAATGCATTTCCTTTAAAAATAACTGTTGAAAACACTTTTCTTCCAATTTGCCTATTACACAAGGAAAGCTTTTTCTAAATTTTACTAAATAAAATAACAGCTAGAAACTAAATCTAAAGAAATCACATACACACACCTTTTTACTGCAGACCTTCCCCATGACGCAGAACGTAGCTTATTCACCCATATACAGATACAGTAGGGCCCTGTTCAGAGTAAAGGTGGCAGTCAAGTTTTATGCAAACAGAAAAAACTGATGATGATTACTGGAGGTAATGAAACATAAGAACAGTGACTACAGTTGAAAAAAAGACAGATACTGTAGAGGCTTTAAACAAGTTATTTTATTTCACCTGATAGTGCTAAAAGATTAGATTCTTCTTTGGCTCTTAAAATTTGTTTCTCAAGCCTCTATCTCTGCTTTAGAGACGCAGTTTAACACAGTAAGAGAGCAGACCTGGAACGCCAATAAACCTCAGATTTCCTTAGGCTGAATCACCCTCTCAAGTACCGTAAAAGGTAAATACCTGCAACCATGCAGCTGTGTGAGGTGTATTCCTATTAGTTAGGTACAACTTATCTCATACTTACAGGTATCTGTATTTTTTTTTTTTTAATGTATCAGTTGAACCAGCGTCACTTACAAGACTTCTTTAAATATTAAGCTAATGAAAAATCATAGCCGAGGCTAAACGCAAGAGACTGGAAGATCAAGGATTTTATTTTACTACTCACGGTGAGAGGGGCCTTGTACAAATTCCTTAAGCTCACTATAGGATGGTTTACAAACCCATTAAAAACCACAACAACCACAAGTGGTACCCGTGGCTTCTTGACAGGTGTGTTAAAACAACCTGGAAGAGAGAACCTGTAACATCCTTTACAAGTGTATTAATAACTTGTTTTGACACTGCTTAGAGACCCTCTATTGAGGTATATCCTGTGCACAAAACACGGAGTCAGAGGCGCTCTCCTCTCCACAATTTCCAAACCTTAGCAAGGTACAAGAAAGTGATAAATCAGTAAACGAGACATGATAAGAGCCATGCAAAACCAGAGTCACCTATTACTCACAAATAAGATTATCTCAACAGTCAGAAGAGACTCAGACTAACCATTTCTTACAGCAAAGCCCCTGCAAGATAAGATGGATCTTCAGGAATTGAGCCAAACCTGCCCACACAAGGCAAGCAAGATGAGTGAAGAGCCTACTGTCACCTACTGCTGTAATGCAGCTTGCTGCCTAGAATCACACATCTTCTGATATTCTTAACTCCTAATTTCCAGGACAGGAGAGGCTTGCTGAAAGTCTGAAAAACATCTCCAGAGCCACTGACAAAAGATAATATACAAGCACACATTATCATCAGTAAACCTAAGGTATACTGCTATTTTGTGCTCTTATAGTTTCCTTCATTTCAGACAAAGGTAAGGCATTTTATAACAACAACAACAAAGGCAGCTATATAAAGGTTGTTTAAGTGATAAATGAAGCAGCAATTTATGCTAACTAATAACAAGACAAATCTACTGTATCAGTTTAACATTTCGAGGGATAAGAATAAACAGATAATAAATACCCACATTTGAGCGAAGCACAAAGCTAATGTTAAGATTAATCTTAACTCATAGAAAACTCAAGAGTCTATAAATGGTCCTGACCCAATAACATTTCTTCTAAAGCAGCCCATTTAGTTACTCTGTTTGGTGGAATGCAACTGTGAACAACAATAAACCTGAGACTGAACAATTTACAAATTACGGGATAATGTATATATCCAAGCCCATGACTGGAGCATGTAAGGAGCTATCACTTTCCTAACAGAGCTCGTCTTTCGAGTAACTACTGCACCAGCGCACTAGTGATCAACACTGCAATCCACAGAAGCAATTCCCAACAGCAAGACGCCTCAAAACAGGGTAGTTTTAACCCTCACTCATTTTACTACACTATGGTTGAGTTGTGAGCAAACATGTAGCAAATTAAGTCAACTTCTTGTTTTAGATCAAGAAATAGCAAAAACAGCTCAAGATTAATCACTTGTTAAGGCATCATGAATCACAATCTTCCCTTAGCAATTGCAGGAGATGATGCTCAGTGTCTTACAGGATATAACCAGATCCTATACAGGACAACATCTACGACAACTAAACAAGATTATCAAAATGCATCTACTTATACAGGCTTTTCCAAAGCATCTAACACTGATGCAAAGTTCCATGAAAGGATAAATCTTCCATGGTGAAAGGGAGAGACCTGAGCTCATGCACAACATCTTAGCTCTCCCTAGAGATGATGCTGGTGCAGCGTACCCAACTGCAAGTACCAGCTGTCAGAATAGCTGTCAAACGCAATGACTGATTTAAACCTGATCCCAGCTGCAGCAGTCTTCCTCAGCACAAAAGCTTTATACTGCCAATGCTTACACTAGAGAAGTATTAGAAACATTTCTTCTCAAAGTCCATTCACGTTTTGCAGCACTTTTCTGACAGATTACTACAGCGTAGTATGTATCTGATGCGTGCAAAACTCAAGGACAAACTGGTGTCAAAGGTTCTTACGCTGGCAGTGCCACAGAACTGCTGCAATTTAAAATGAACAAGGAAATTGCACCATGTAATCAACAGGATAATTAGTGTATATTTATTTTGTCAGAGGAAGACAAACAGGGTGAGTAAAAAAGGCTCAGTAACCACTCTGCTGCTGGAGAAGAAGCCAGGTTCTCCAGGCAAGAGGCAATTTCTCACAGTACTATTTCTTGTGAGCATGCAACAGAGGTCAGCCTCTTCCTCACCACACCTGAAAGGAAACCCAAAGGACTAATACCTCTGGGAATTCATACCCACACCACAGTCATAAAGTAAGCAACAGGATTACAAACCGATCAGAAGCACGGACCAGAAACAGCAGCAACGGCAAGATACTAAGCATTCAAGAGTAGAAAGCTGCATTTTTACCTACTATGAAGTGCTGAATGGAGATGAATACCCACTGCGTTTCAGCGTCTCTCTTCAATTTGGCTAATTCCAATTTGCAAGAGCCCTGACAGATCACATCTCCCCTATCCCAAGAAATTTCTGATGTTTCTGAAAAAATAAAACCCAATGCACCCCAAATCCAACACCGCTGTGCCCAGTGAAACAATACAGCTATGCAAGTTCTGCTTCTCTGCAACCAGTCCTTCTCCCCTTTTGTAAGAAATGCTTTAATTTGGATTTCCAGCATGCTTCTGTTCAGCGGGGTTCCCACTTACCTGGTGGGCTCAGCACACCCTGAGCCTCCCAGACCACGCAGGGGCTAAGGTGAGGTTTCTCACACCTCCTGATCCTCCTGTGTCCATTCTGGCACCCATTTAATTGGGCAAGGAGCCTACACAGGGAACTAACCCAGCAGCACACACATGGGGGCAGAGGGAGTAGGATGAACCCAAAAAAAAAAAAAAAAAGCCTCAGAGCTGGCTGAAAGAAGAGGGAGGGC